TCCCTGATGGTCAGTGTGCATGATAGCACCGGTCATTCCAGCAGTCCTTCCACCTTTGGTCGATTTGCATACTAGGCTTTATATATACGATTTTATTTACCTGACCCCCTCCCAAACTTGTAGAGGGTTGTTTATGACCCCAGTGTTCTGGGACTGGTCTGTTTTCATTCATTGATAAGTTCTTTCCATGTACAAAATCATGCCCTTTAATTCTGAGAATTTTATTGAGTTATGTATTTGACACCTCCTTTCTCCTGTACTTTCTTAGTTTATTTTCTGAAGCTTTTATTTAGATATTTAATCTCCTGGCCTGATCCTTCAATTTTCTTATCTTCCTCCATTATTTTCAGTCTCTGTCATTTTGTGCTACTTTCTGGGAGAGTTCTTCAAAAATTTAAATGTTTAAGGGGAAAAAATGTAACTTTTTACTTTGAAATAATTTAAATTTTACACACAAAAAAATTAAAAAATCATATACTCTTCACCCACCTTTCCCCAATGTTGTATTATGCAACATTATCAAAACTGGGAAATTAACATTAAGATAATACTGTTAGCTGATGTGTAAGTCTTATTCAAATTTTGTCAATTGTCCCATCAATTTCCTTTTTCTGAGCTGGGACCCAATCCAGGATTTCATGTTGCATTAGTTGTCCTTTCTCCTTAGTTTTAAGTTCTTTAATCTGGTACAGTTCCTCAGTCTGTTTTTTTCTTTCATGATCTTGATTGACACATTTGAAGTGTATTGGCCAGATATCCTGTAGTGACCCTCAGTGTGGGTTTGTTGTTTCTCCTTATGATTAAATTCAAGTGATATATACATATATTTTTTTAATATGTTCTTATTGATTTTTGTAGAGAGAGAAATATCGATGAGGCACACATCAACATTGATCTGCTGCCTCCTGCACACCCCCTACTGGGGATTGAGCCTGAAACCCCTGCAAGTGCCCTGACCTGGAATCGAACGATGACCTCCTGGTTCATAGGTTGATGCTCAACCATTGAGCCACTATGTCTGGGCAAGTTATATAATATATATATATTTTTTAATTTTTTTATTGATTAAGTTATTACATATGTGTCCTTATCCCCACGTTACCCCTATCCCCCCCACTCATGCCCTCACCCCCCCT